GTTTATGTGGTGCATAAATCCTTAGTGCCACACCAGGAATCTTACATTTGAATTAGAAGATCAATATGAACTCATGATTCATTTTCTCTTAAAAGAAGATTAAGATGTATTTCTAAATTCTAGCCACAAAAAAGGCCTCCTTGCACCCAGATGGTAGTCTCTAAATACCACCAAACCAAAACAAATCCAACCAAACCAAAGCAAACCCATGCTCTTGAGTCTATTCTGATTCAGAGTGACCCTCTAGGATAGAGTAGAATTGTCCACAGAGTTTCCAAGGGTGTAAATCTTTATTGAAGCCAACTGCTGCAACTTTCCTCCTTAGAGCAACTGGTAGGTTTAAATGGTTGGATGAACTCTTAATCACTGCAACATTAGGGCTCCTCTCTAAATATAATTTCCTACTAAAATGGAACATGGCTTGAAAAACCAACTTAAGATGAGGTTACATCTCTTCTTAAAGATTTGGATTCAATATGTGTAATAAGGGAGTGACAATTTGATCATGATCAATTTTATAATAACATTGTTTTATAGACTAAATAAAATGACAATTGACATTGTTCTACTTTATCTTTTTTTAAAAAAATGTTTTATTGTGACTTATGTGATAGTTTACATGGGAGAACATTAGTTTTAAATTGATTGTTCTAACTTTAAATGCTCAATATTAATTTCCTTTATCAGAGTTTCTCTAAGCAGACTGAATCTTTCAAAAGAATACGATATTCAGAACTAAAATAGTCTCACTAGCTTCTTTGAAGCATACTTTAGAATAGAAATCTTAACATGAAACTTTGTTTATACCTAAGCAACACTCATAGCAGTTATAGTCTATAAACCTCACCTTGTATATAAACATGAACATAGAAATATTTATTAAAACATAAAATTAAAAAACAAAACATAAAACTATTTTCTAGGACATACTTAGCAAGAAAACTTTTTGTTAGTTTACTCTGTAAGATCATAGTTTGATCTTAAATCCTTTCTAGTCATCGTTATTATAATCTTATTAAATTTACCAATAAAAGCTTTTAATCTGTGAGTTATAAGTCTAAGCCCAATTAGACAATTTAGGAAACAATGTTTTTTTTATATCTGGAAAAACAAAAGCTTAAAAACACTCATAATATAAAAGCTATACTGTTTTTGTGTATTCATTGCTTACTTCTGTTCTTGATGAATTTCTTTGGACTGTAATTTGTGAACCCGTCATCTTTCTGAGACCTGGAAATATTGATTTAGTTTGATAGGCTCCAAGTTCAAAATATCAATCTTTTCTGTAGTATAATACAGTCTACCATTCTACTGGAAATTTTGTCAAGTATTTCAACATGTTGGCAGGAAACCTGAATAGTGAAAAAGTAAATCTGTAGATGGTATAATTTAGCAGGGTTCTTAGTAATTGTAATAAGGTATTTAAAAGTACAAATCTTGATGGGAATTACAGACAGATGAAAAGCCAGAGTTAATTAAAAATTAGATGGAAATTAGGCAGAACACCTTAAAACAGTATGATTTACCTTTTAATAAAGCTTTAGCTATAATGCTATATTATAAATTAATAATATTTGAATATTATTAAATAAATCAAATGATGGATTGCATTGGGCAAATCTGCTGCACAAGACCTCTTTAAAGTGTTGAAGAGCAAAATGTCAGTTTGAGGACTAAGGTGCACCTGACAGGAGCCATGGTATTTTCAATAACCTCATATGCATGCAAAAGCTGAACCGTGAATAAGGAAGACCATAGAAAAATTGATGCATTTGAGTTATGGTGCTGGAGGAGAATATTAAAAGTACCATGGACTGCAGCCAGAGTGCTCCTTGGAATCCAGGATGGCCAGAGTTCACCTCTCATACTTTGGACATATTATCAGGAGGGACCAGTTGCTGGAGAAGTATATCATGTTTGGTAAAGTGGAGGGTAAGAGAAAAAGAAGACCCCCAACAAGATGGATTGGCACAGTGACAGCAACAGTGGGTTCAGGCCTAGCAACAATTGTGAGGTTGGCCCAGGACTGGGCAGTGTATTGTTCTATTGTACATGGGGATCACTCTGAGTTTGTACCAACTTGATACACCGAATGACAAAAATAATGTTTGAATAAATTTGTAGATAAGAAGCATTATTCAAAGGAAATAGAATTATGATTGAGGTGGCAATTAAAATGACTAAAATTTTGAACACATTTAGTAAAATTCTTTTGCTGGAGTCTGTAGTAATTTGCTGATAAATTGAGCATTAGCTTTAAAAAACATAACAAAACACATGGTTTGGCAAAATCTAATTTATCCTTGTCCTGGAAGTCAAAGTATTTTAAAGAATAAATTAAACCTTTAAATTAATAATTAGGAAAATCTTTATATTTAAATGGTAAGAAATCCAGTTTTTTCATGTTGTTGATATTAAAGTTTTTCTTTTAATTGAAATATTTGTATTTAGAATTAACCAGCTGGACTCAGCTTATATGATTCCAATTTTTTTTTTTTTTTTTAATGATGATCCCAATTTTGTTGGCAACATCCAAAGCATCACAGTCAGAAGCCAGTGGAACATATGTCTTCTTTTCTTCATCAGGCCTGATTAAGGTGGTGACCTTGGCTACGTCAATGTCATAGAG